TGAACGTATTAAGTTATGGCTCATATCTTCAACAAAAGCCGTGATAAACCACCGCACAAAGCGTTCATGTATACAAAAGCAACAACAAAAAATGGTGACATCAACAGCCGCAACTGCAGCAGTAGCAGCAGCAGCAGCTACAACAATAACAACAGCAAAAACAACAATAACAACAACAGCAGCAGCAACAACAACTCCAACAGCAGTAGCAGCAGCAGCAACAACACCACCACCACCAACAACAGTAGCAACGATAACAACAACAACAACAACAACATCACCACCACCACCAACAGCAACAGCAACAGCAACAACAACAAAACCTCCCAACAATTCAATAAAAAAATGAGTTTAAAACAGGGCAGAACAAGATAATGATATGCTTCCATTCACCTCAATTATCATATCATAACATAACCTCAACTATCACATCATAACCTAACTTCAACTATCACAACATGCCTCACCTCAACAAATACACCACACCTCACCTCAATTATCCCATCATACCTTACCTCAACAATCACATCCCACCTATTTCGCTGAAAAGACAACACCCCCTCACCCCCTGCTACATCCACGTTTCAGAAGGCGATGCTGAGCCGCTCTAAGTCAAACACCAGGGCCAAGAGCTGCAGACGTTGGCTGCTCCAATGACCTCATCAACCCCCTCGTCTGGCCCGCCAGTCTCGGCCACGCCCACCGCACACGTCATGGGGGTCACTGAGGGTCAAGCTCTGGACAACTTCCTCAAGGACATCCTCTGGTTTGTCTATGACTACCAGCTGCTGCTTATACTGTGTCTCCCGTAAGTTCTTACCCCCCCCCACACTCATGTAGAGAACGTTCATTTGAAAAGCACACGGAAAAAACGGGAGTTGTCACAAACTGGAAATTGTAGGGGTGTAAATTCTAAAAGCTTGTAGACTCATAACTTTATATTTGTTTGACTTGTGTTTTTTTTTAATATGTTTATTTAAATGGGAAATCTAACAACAATAATCAACCAACAGTTGATCAGAAATACAGTTATGAGTCAACATGCGTTCAAAATCGATACCCTCACGATTTTCATTTTGTGAGTAAGCCCGTTTGCCCCCTGAGCTCTTCATTTGTATTTGCACTACACACACCCTGAGTAAAGGTGTACGTCAATCCCTATTTCTATTTGCACTGCGCATGCACAGTTCAGATATTTTGAATTTTCCTCTTTCATTTTCGATCCTTGTGGATCATAAGATACAAAGCTCTCGAAAGGAAATCGATGGATTTCAAATTCTTCTCTAGCTTCTGTTTTTGAAGGACACGCGTTCCTCAGATGATTTACTTAGCAGCCCAGTTCTGCAATACGACGTACACATTGGGCCAACTCTTGTGTCAATGAGTTGTGAGCTATGGGAATAAAACAAGACTACCACACCAACACAACACAACTCTTTTGTTGTTCTTTTCCTGTTTTCATTTTTCCACAACTCACTGACAAATGCATGTAAATAGTTGGCCAAATGTTTTGTGGTAGTGCAATACTAGGCTTACAGTTAACCTGGGCAATTTTTTGTTCTGCTGATACTCAAGATAAGCGAGGACCATCCATGTTGACATACAGATGTAATTAGTTTGAAGTGTTGTTATGTTAGGTTTCAATTCCTTTGATCGGCACACGAAGGTTCTCGTAAAAACAAGAAAAGCAAAAGCAAAATACCGTTAGAGTTGACATACAAGATGTCCTAGGAAGACACACAACCATTTCGCTCCTTGACTTCAATGAAAAAGTAAAGTGGCCTGTGAGTGTATGGTCGGTTTGATGGTATTGATATTTAAAATGAATTCTAGAATCTTGTAGAACGCCCACTTTACCATGTAATAATGATGACGCCCCCCCCCTCCCCCTAAAACCTCACAACTCAAAATACATGTATTCTTATTTACTCCGTAAAGTTGTGAACTTTGATCGCTTTTGATTAAGTGTTACTTTATAATTTATTAAAAAATTAATTTAATTTCTAAAATAATGGTGGTTATGGAGGGATTGGGAGGGATGAAAAAGTCTGGTTTTATTCACACCGTACCTTTGCGTTTTTTCAAAACCACGGATGGAAGAAAAGGGGCACTCAAGTTGTGCTTACCTTTTGAGAATAGCTCCCGGAAACAAACATAATAATACAGTTATTGCTTTAAAAACACAAAAAGCAAGCAAAAAAAAACAAAAAACAACAACAAAAAACAACAACCCCAAAACAATAAACAAAAAAACAAAACACCCTGTCTAACACAATCTCTCAATTCTTTGGCGTAGGGCAACAATAAATCGCTCTCTTAACTCATATTATATAACTCTTTGTTGCTGCTATCTTGTCCCTTGCTCCCCAGTGTCTTGGCGCTGAACTGGTGGGCGCTGAGAATTCTGCGACAGTTTCGCCACGGACGGACGGTGCTGGACGCGACGGGATGGAGGGAGTTGGTCAACACGGTAACAGTTGTCGGAGATTGTCGGGGGGGG